GTGGGAGTAACGGATTACCTCTAACTCCAAATTCAATAACAGTCTATGGCAGAGCTCAACTGCTAAAAATTATAGAAAATCCATACCTTTGCCAGTACATTGACATTATAAGAGGCAAACATGGTATAATGTAACAGTATTTAAAGTGATCCCTCTTATTAAATGATTGTTTTTTGTTAGAGAGAACAGTTGTAGTGTCTCAGTACTGTGGAAAACCATTAACTGCATGTTTAAATACTGATAATTTAAATGTGGATAATATAAAAAAGATTGCCTACCAAATTTTGAAAGGACTTGAGGAATTACAAAAGAGAAACATCGTTAATCGAAATTTAAGCACAGAAAATGTCCTGTTAATGGAAGACAATAATATTAAAGTTTTTAACTATGGACTTTATTACATGACAGGGAATGGACAGTATGTTGCCTTCCCAGTAATGTATGTACTTGTTAATTTTATTCCTTGTCTTAATGCAAGAAACATTTTCGAATTTATAAAATTTTTGGAATTTCATTTTAGGTCTGTACTATACACAGCTCCAGAGGTGTATCTTAGCAAACCAAGTAGCACTTATTCACATCCTAAGGGAGACATCTGGTCCTTGGGAATTATTTTGGCTGAATTAGTCATCAATAAACCACTGTGGAACTCTCTGAAACTAGGTCAAATAATAAGGAAGATAATGAGCTTATTGACTGCAAATGGTAGTGTTTTTGAACGTATCACAAGAGAACACAATTGTTATGAAAAATACAGTGTAAGATAAAACCAATAATAAGTATTTCTCATGTATTCTAAAACTTAACTTTTTATATGGTATATTGATGCGTCTATATAACAAGTAATTCATAGTATATTTGAATAAGATGTAATAAATAGAATTGTGTAAACATAATCATGTGGTAAGTTTTACAAATAACTTAACTGCTATGACAACATTTTTTTGAAGGAAAAGGCCTGGGTGTGTAGTATAAGTGCCCAAAATTTAACAAAAAACTAGTCGATAGTCTTCTTTAAATAAGAAATAAGTTATAATTACTTAACCCTTTTTATTTTAGGAATTGCCAGCAGATTTAAAGGATCTTATAAATAGCTGCCTCACCGTTTATCCAAGTAACAGACCATCAGTACAAGATTTGTTAAAACGTGAAATTTTTAATAATATTGCTCCTTCTCCTATGAAAACTAAAAGTAAAGTATGTAAACCGTTTCAAAACTTTACTATAATGGAATTTTACCACTGGTGGCAATTGGCGGGTGGAGATGTTTTACTGGAACTTAAGAAACAGGGACTTATACGGACTTCACCGCCCATTTTATCTCTTCCTAAGTAAATGTTACATTAAAAAAAAGGTGAAGTAAATAAAGAAAAATACAATTACCAGAAAACTTTTAGGGCAGTATTGATGGATGGAAATATACTGGGATTAGAGCGCAATTTTAACTTACTGTATGATCCTAAAGTTGTTTTAATGCCACTTGACACTCTGTATAGAAGATTTAGTCACATTCCACTTAGTAGTTATTACCCTCTTATTCATATAAATTCTGATATAATTAAAAAGTCTGAGCCTCCACAGTATGATGCGTCCAATTTACCTTTAGTTATAAGAGAAAAGGACCCTGAATACCAATTTCACAGGACAATTTTAATGAGAAGACTGTTACATGTGAGTATTTCGTTTCTTTTTTAATTTTTGTTTTATATAATGAACATTTTGCAGGGTTATCCGTTCACTAGAAATTTAATAATAAAAGAAAGTGAAAAGGACATCCCTCCCCTTTTAAGGGGCAATATTTGGGCGGCTCTACTTCATGTAAAGGGCGATTATGAAAAAGAATATGCTAAAATTGATAAAACTACCCCTACACCTACAGATAGACAGGTTTATAAAGCATTTTAAATTTTATTAATATAAATTTAATTTTTGAAAAACGTCCTGTAAACAACAACTTCTTTTAGATTGAAGTGGACATTCCAAGGTGTCATCAGTACAATGAACTGTTGTCTTCTTCAGTTGGTCATAATAAACTTAAACGTATTTTAAAAGCCTGGGTTTCGAAAAATTCTCAGTATGTTTACTGGCAGGGGCTCGATTCATTAACTGCACCTTTTCTTTATTTAAATTTTAATGATGAAGGTAAACATTTTTAAAATATTAACAGGTCATTAATTTAAACTTTAAAAGAAATTAGGTACGCATCAGAAAAAAGCAAATATAATAACGTTAAATGATTTTTTATCTGGATAATGCAGTTGTTGTAATTAATGTTTTATAATCCAAATAAAAAACGCTTTATTTTTGTTTCAGCAAAAGCGTTTGCTTGTTTGTCGTCTTTTATACCATTATATTTACATAATTTCTTCCTAAAGGACAATGCGGCTGTGATACAGGAATACTTGGCGAAATTTATGCAACTGATCTCATTTCATGATCCCACTTTAGCAAACCATTTACACAATATTAATTTTATCCCGGAACTGTTTGCTATACCGTGGTTTTTAACCATGTTCTCGCGTAAGTTATAATATTTTTTTTTACTAAAAGCAATACAAAGAACTGTATTTGTTTTAAAGACGTTTTCCCTTTACATAAAATTTTACATTTGTGGGACAAATTAATACTTGGGGATTCATCATTCCCTCTACATGTCGGATTATCAATTTTAACTCAGTTAAGAGAAACGCTTCTTAACTCCGGCTTTAACGAATGTATTTTGCTCTTCTCTGATCTCCCCGAAGTTGATATTGAACAGTGTGTAACAAGTTCATTAAAGAGCTACAACATAACACCAAGAAGCATAACTTATCGCAAACATCAAAATGAAAACGAAAAAAATATAGAAAATATGGTAAAGGGACTAAAAGACAATTTTTATCGTTTTATTTTATCTTTACGTTTTAGGATGAAATGGGAATCACCGTACAAGAACTTAATCGTGAGAGGTGTCCGAGAATACATTTTACAGATGTCGTCAAACTTGTAAATGAAGAAAAAGCAATTATAATCGACATTAGAAATCCTACTCAGTTAGTAATATTTTATTAGTTAAATGTTAAATGACGGTACCAAAGATTTTTTAGTCTTTAAGTTTAATTTAATTGTTTGGTTTCTCTTAAGATTTAGTAGGTACGCTGTTAGAGGAAGTTTAAATATTCCGTTTTCGAGTGTAACGTTTGGAAGTCCTGTTTTGGAATCTATAGGGCCGCATGGTGCTACATTAAAAAATAATACTGAAAAAGTGGTAGTCGTAGTTGGAACGGAAGATACAGATTTGGAATTGGTAAGTGATAGCATTTTAAAGAAAACACTAAATGCTTTTTTTATTGCTTAATATGTGTCATATTGTTCCAGTTTCCTAAATTTTTGCTAGAATGCAAGGTAAGCAGAGTTTGCGTGCTTCATGGAGGTTTCAACGTGCTGTTACCAGTAAGTCCTACAATTTTATACACACCAAACAGTCCTATACTGTAAATTAAATTAAATATGAAAATATATATGTAGATATATATATATNTGAATTTTATATGATATTCAAATTTTTCTATTAATAATTTTACTGAAAACATTAAACATGTTTGTACTTTTCCTCATGTAGACAACGACACGATGATTTTTGCCAGTCGTTCCGCACTCTTAAGAGCATAGAACGCCAAGGCATATAGTACATAAACCTTACTTCCCAATTGCTAATAAGTTATAATCGCTTCCTAATTAATCAGTTGATTACATCTCAAAACAAACATAAAATACTTACGTCAGACACGTTTCCTCTGAATGCGAAATGAGAGTGGACCAAATTTTGAAGTTCACAATTTCGATTGTTCCAGAAATTGGATATATCAATTTCCGCTAAACAATATTTTGCATCACTTACTGAAAGACATTCATCATAATCACCGTATTGATTTATGTTACCACTTAAAATTCCAGAAGGTAATTTTGCGTTTGCATCAATCACTAAAAGCGCGCAAAATTATTACCTATGTAAATATTTTATGGATTATTCAAAATCTTCACTTTTAAGCGCCCAAAGTTCGTTGGATTTTAATCCGTCCATTAAATGCCGAATCCCACTCTGGCACTTTGAACTAATTAAATAAATTTCAGACCAATTAAAGAACATACTTTCGTTTCTCGAAAACCACGAAACATTTTGTAAAAAATGCTCGTGTTGCACTTCATCAATTCGTTCACATTTAATACCACAATAATTGAGATTCAACATAATAAGCAAATATGACTTGCTTATAAAAAATAAATTTTTAGCCATCGTCGTGGTTGATAAAAAACGCATCAAATTCAACTGACTTATTTTTTATTCATCCTACATACTTATATGCATTGATAGGAAATAGGGACGAATTGCTTCATGGCTTTGCATTCATATTAAACGTCTTGTTTCGTCGGTGTTTCGAAAACTATTTTGTCGCTTGAATTGGGTAACAAAGAAAACGGACATAATATGTAAGAGTTCAGCGGAATTAAAACTGAAGAAGACGCACTCCCTTGTTTTGCAGTGTTCAAAAACTAGTGAAACAGTAATTTGCAATAAATGCTAATCTTGTTGTAACAAGTGCAAAGTCTGTTAGAACGCCGTATCTGCACTTAAAAGTTGCTAATTTCTTGAGCTAAATTTTGCTAATCAGGAAATCTCCTTTAGATGTACAAAATTAGGTATGATCTCATTACGCAAAATTGGCACAGAAAAGCAATTAAAAATTAGTAATATTTGTAGTTTTCTGTTATTTCTTTTAATTTACATTAAGGTTTTCGTTCTTAGTTAGTGTTTCTTTTATTTCTACTGTTTATTAAATGAATTTCAATATATGTATTAACCCAGTATTCCATGTACATTTTATTCAACTACAAAAACTTTTGGTATATACCATGTAGTGCGGTCAAAACTTCTTCTTTAACTCTCGTATAAGGTGTTATCAGTGCGACATCTAATTTCAGTATATGAAAGCATTCCTGTTTTTGAAGTTTTGTGTATAATTCAATAGATTTATAGGTTATGCAAGATATTTTTTAAATTGTGAACTTAAAATATTTAAATTTCAGAATGAAAACTGAAATTTATAATGCAGCTGATGAAGAATATGTAGTGTTAAGGGCCAAAAATGCATTACAGACCGATCCTTATGCTGCAAAGGCTTGGATGATAACTGCAAAGACGCTTTACCCTAATAATTTTACTGTACATGTATGTATCAATTTGAAAAGAATTTCTGTTTCTGATAGGATCCGTTTTAGTTTGAAGCTTATAAAATGGAGAAAGAAGCCAAAAACGTTAAAGAAGCTGCAAAATGTTTCAGTTATTTGTGAGTACTTTCTCATTTTAAAGTACACCCTAAGACATTCCCAATTGTGTAATTGTAGATTGGAAAACTTTCAAGAAGAGAAGTTTTGGAAGGAAGTTGAAACTGTGATAGCAGCTTTACGTTCAGAAAATGATGCCAATGATGTTGTCAATCAATTTTTGTGTGATATGTTCAGACATATTTCGACAGGTACTTGCCCATTATTTTTTTTTTGAAAATGTTTGTAATGACATAATGAGAGAATATCTTTCTAGATGTTCAACACAAACTGCTGCTGTTAACTGCTGATCGATGTGAAG